AACATTTCTCAAGACCCCAGTTTTCTTCTGTAAAAAATAAGAGTAACATAGTTTCTGAGCTATAGACATGCTGGTATTCTTTCCTCCAAAGTTAAGACAAACATTGAAGATAAATATCTTTCATAATTTTTAAAACTGAATAATGATTTTTAATTATGCAGTGATACCTAAAGTATTATTTTATCTTTTTTAGCACTGTGAAAATATCTCTCTGCTCCCCATGTCTACACCCATATCCAGGCATTTGAAAGAACTGTTAGTAATGATCCATTATGTCAAGATCAACCAGTGCTGTTTTTAAAAGGGTGAGAGGAACAAGCAGACCCATTGAACAAAAATGCTTTAATATAAGGCTCTGCTTTTCAAGCTGAGCTATATATTACTGCCGGCTATCCTGTCCTTTTGTTTCCTGTCAATTTTCTGGTCCCCTTACCAAGTGAAATCTCTTCTGTCATTGCTAAATTTTCTGTATATGTTTGGAGTAGGAAGTTGACATGTACTATGCTCATTTCATTTTATTTGGTTTTTTAGTTATTTTATTTTGCAAATAGTAAATGCTCATTTTGCTTCTGATTTTTTCTTCCTGGCATCTAGTGAAAATAGTTGCAGATTCTGGCAGCTGATGAACACAGGCTCCAATCCCAGTTCTGCATACCATTTGGCAAGTCCTTTAAAATCTCTGGCCCATAATTTATTCCTTTATTAAGTGATTATAGCCATTCCAAAATGCTCAGAATTGCTGTGAAGACTATGCTGGGTACTGTCCATTAAACTGTGTAAAGTAGTTTCCCTTTATCTATAGGAAATACATTCTGAGATCCCCAGTGAATGTCTAAAGTCATGGACAATACTGAACCCAATATATATACTGTGTTTTGTTTAGTTTTTTCTATACATACATACCTATGTTAAAGTTTAATGAGGCAATTTCACAGATAAAAGCTTTGTTCTTAATGTAGATCTTAGCAACCTCAGCATACATTTTTTTTCCCTCTTTTTATTAAGTAGAGAAGTTTCAGCTTTTCTTAAAGAAAGTAAGCTTCTGTTTGGCATATCTGAATTGCCAACATCACTATTATCAAGTAAAATGATGGTTACTTGAACACAAGCACTGTGATACCATGACAGTCGATTTGATAACTGAGGTGGTTACTAAGTGAGTAATGGGAGGGGAGTGTGTACAGCATGGAGATACAGGACAAAGGGAAGGTTTAAGGCCAGGCAGGACAGAGCACAAGATTTTTATCATGCTACTCAGCACAGCACACAATGGAAAACTTATAAGTTGTTTGTTTCTAGAATTTCCATCTAGTATTTTTAGACCATGGCAAAACATGGGTAACTAAAACCATGGAAAGTGAAACTGCAAATGAGGGGTGACTACTGCATACACTAATATTTACTCCACAAATATTAAGACAAAATGAGGAAGGTAACTTTTTTCCAAGTCCAGAATTTGATCTACCTAGTTGCAGGCAACTAAACTTTTGTTAAATATTTATTTATCCATATCAAATTATGAAGACATAAATGCACGAGGCCAAGTACTCTGTGATGAATAAATTTTAAACTTGGTCATTAATTTCTAATTAATCTGCTTGTGTAAGTTTAGGTGTTTTAAATATAAGCAAGCATTTGTTCAGATGTAAACTAATCTTACCACTGTGAAATTATGCCAAAAATGAAAATAAAATTTGAATGGTAATTATATTGTATGAAATAATTCTGATTATCTAAACTAGAAATTAGAACTTCTAATTTAAAAAATTTTTCAGTGCTACCTTTTATACCTTGGTCTAGTATTCACTACTCTACTACTATATATCATTAACATTTTATAAAGACCCATTTTATTTTTCCCCCACCACACACACACTGTCATAACAATTATATTTTGACTTCTTAATAATGGATCAGTGTCAACAAGTCCATTCTATGAAGTCACTATGCACAATAAGAGAAATGCAGCTGGACTACCTCTGTAACTCTCAATGATTTAACACAACACTTGAATTGACCATTCTATGTTTATTTGGTATGCCACTAATCACGACTGATAATGGACCCTTAGCTTTACGTCTGTTTTAAACCTTTTCCAGATCAAAGAAATGATCAGAATATTATTTTTTTCAGTCTGTCAAAAATTAATTGATTGTAATTAGATGTTATCCAAACTATTATCTAGAGTTTTCTGCATTCCAGATATGGTTGGTGTGTCTCATATGAAAATATATGTCCTATTTACATTATTGAATCCATATTAATCAGAAAGATAAAGACTAAAAAATGGCACTATGGATCATCTTGTGCTGAAGAGGTAATGTAATTTTAAAATACTAAACTAGGCTGACAACTGGAGTTGTCTGTTGGAGTAATCATTTTCCTCAGCACAATAGTTCAGATTTGTATATATGTCACAGTATTCATATTCTATGAGACATTATCACTTATCATATTTGAAAGCTGCATAACAACCTAGGGGGGAAGTAACTGTAAGAAAAAATATATTTCTAGAGACTTGAAACTTTCAGGATATGACAAATCAATATATAGAAAATTTGTAACCAATGTATAAGGATATTTAATAAATGTTTTTAGAAATCTTAGTAATTTTAAATTAATATAGGGGTGAAATCACCAATAACAGATCATTATAAGATCAGAAAAAATAAATTACTTTCAAGTGAAAAAGTCTATATTATCTAACATGTTCTACTTCAGTTTTGAATACCATTGTGCAAGAAAATATTGCATGCTTATCATGGTTAAACCCCACATTTCAATTTTTTCATTTCTTTCTACTGGAAAAACTAATAGTATAGATATTATTGAGTAACATTTTCAGGTAGCAGTTGCCATTTAAAACATATAGGAGTTATGTGGTGTGTCGAAATTAATAACTGACATCTCAACTAAAATTGGAGACGGGAAGACCTGTAGAGGTAGCTCTCACACTTACCACTTGAAGTCAATCACTCCAAAAAGGAAGAGGTCAATTATAAACCTAAACAAGAAGATAGGTACATTGCACTCCCACATAGAAAGCCAACTACCTTATTACCCCAGGATGAAGAAAGAAGATTTTCCTCTTGCCCAGCACTGAACCAATTGAAATGCTACATTTCAGCCAATGAGAAGCCATTGTCACCTGAACTCCAATGAGCTTTTACTCATCTCTTGCTGATGATGTCCTTGTCCCACCTTCTTTTCTAGAAAAGCCTTCTATCTTGTATAACCCCCAGAGTATCTCTCTGCTTGTTAGATGAGATGCTGCCTGATTCATGAGTCATTTAATAAAGCCAGTTAATTCTATCAACAGATACAAGTGGAGTTTAATGGACGGCATTTGGGAAAGGGGTCTTTCTAATAAAGTTTCTTTCTGTCTTAACTGATGGTTAAAAAACTTGAAGTTTCAAGAATAGTTTCATGACCATGAGAAATAGTTAAGGAAATCATCTGAAATCTTGGGCTATAAAACTAACATCAATAACTAACTATTTTCAATTCTTATATTATTCTGTTTGTTTGTTTGTTTGTTTATTTATTTATTTATTTATTTATTATTTCAGATGTTTCTCCTTTTTTACCCCATTGGCACCCCCCTCCCCACCCCAACATCGTCCCGTCCCCGGCTTTGTTGTCCATGTCTATTGGTTATGTATACATGCATATAAGTTCTGTGGTTTATCTCTTTCTGTTATCTATTGTTTAAAAATTTCTGATTGCTGAATCCACTTATATATGTGTACTAATTATGATAAATAAGTATGACTAGTTTTGAGTATATTACATTTATGACCAGCATAAATAGAAAACCCACTCTTCTTGAATTGTCAACTTGGGATAATAAAATGTTTTGGAATTCTCCAAGGAGCCAAAGAAGTCTCCAGATACTTCTTTGTATCTGAGTGTGTGGATATGTGTAAAGAATAAGTAGAATAATAGGTTATAATAATTTTAGCTAGAATTGTTCTACTTTTATTTATTAGGCTTTCATTTTCTTGTTCTTTTAAAAAGATAGTCACATGGATAAAATGTTTCTGAAAGCCACTACTGAAAGGACAAGAAAATATTATACTATGAGTTGAAAATCTTGGTTTCCTGTCCCACTCCTACTTTGTGAATTCCTAGCCATAATTCCTCTGATGAAACAATCTATAAATCTTTGAATACTCAAATATACCCCACATACATTTACATGCAAATTTCATATTATAATATGCTGAATCACACAGAAATATTTGTGGCAATGACTTACAAACTTTTAGGTACTACTATATAGTACTATTTTAAAAAATGTTTGTGAATGTTCATATGAAAAATAACATATTAATAAATAATAATATAAAAATTAACACTCATATGCTCACAACTGTAAATCTACTTTTGCCCCACCCTGCATAGGATTTAAAATTTGACTGGTGAACTACTTAATATTTCCTATATGTGATTACTAATTGAAGCAGGTTTGCAAACAGAAATGTCAATACATAGATATTTTGGCACAAGAACACTTAACATCACATATAAACTGCAAAATGCATACAAAGGATGATTCTCCATCTTAAAGAGAGGGTAATATAGTGAGGCAATTTGATAATGTCATATGTATATTAATAAAAAATGTTATATACTTCTATATTCACATGATCCTGGCATTCTTAAATAAACTCTATTAACTATATATCAAAAATTAAAAAGTTAAAAATAAATAATGAATATATATATATAAAAATATTAATTCATTTGAATATTAAAAATATCCAGTTGCCTCTTACACACTTTACATGAACCTTAAACGGTTGTGAAATTTGAAACACTCTTTGTAATGTAATCAGTTTTAAAAATTCTTCTTTAAATTACTTCACATCAATTTTATTTTATTTATTTTTTAATGGTAGCAGTGTGGTTTATTAAATTGTGCCCTAGTACAGACGCTGGGGCTTGCCCATGGTGTTCTTGATGTACAAAGCCTGGACATTCTGCCAGTTCTTTTTGAGCTATAACACCAGCAAATTGACAGCTAAGTGGATATAGTACACAAGCTCATCGTCTGTCATCTTCACATGGCCAACAGCCACTGCCAGACACAGAAACTTCTTCATCTGGAACTTGATTGTGGATTGCACTTCATCGACTTTGGCCACCATGTTCTCATTGTGGGTTAACAAGGAAGGGAACTTGCCAGGCTTATTGAGGCCTGGGCCCAGGATTTGTGGAATCTGCTTGATCAGAGACTCTGAAGCCAAAAAGGCATCATACTTCTTGGCCAGCTTCTTGACCAGTTTTTTATTCTTGTTGAGTTTCTTCAGTGCCTCGATATCCATGCAGGGGATATCCACTGCCTTGGCCTCATCACAGTGCTGCTGGTCCCCCAGAACACACACGAAGAACTTGGGGCGGGGAGTGGACTTAAGCCTGACGGTGCTGGAGAAGCGTTTGTCTTTCTCTTTTTTTTGAATTTTATTTATTTATTTATTTTTTTGTTACAGATATTTTACATTTTACCCCATTGGCACCCCCCACCCCCCCCTCCACCCTGTCCCCGGTTTAGTTGTCCATGTCCATTGGTCATGCATACATGCATATAAGTTCTGTGGTTTATCTCTTCCCACCCCCCCATCCCCCATCCCCTCTTCTGAGGGATGTCAGTCTGTGCCCTACTTCCATGTGTCTGGGTCTACTGTATTCCTCAGACTGTTATGTTCATTATATTCCGTATATAAGTGAGATCATGTGGTATTTGTCTTTTTCTGCTTGGCTTCTTTCACTTAGGATGATACTTTCCAGGTCCCTCCATGTCGTCTCAAAGGATAAGAGATCTTTCTTTCTTACCGCTGCATAGTATTCCATTGTGTATATGTACCACAGCTTTTTGATCCATTCGTCTACTGATGGACACTTGGGCTGTTTCCAGATCTTAGCTATTGTAAATAGTGCTGCTATGAACATGGGGGTACATATATTCTTCCTGATTGGTGTTTCAGGCTTCTTAGGGTATATTCCCAGCAGTGGGATCACTGGGTCAAATGGAAGTTCAATTTTTAATTTTTTGAGGTAGCACCATATTGTTTTCCACAGCGGCTGCACCAGTCTGCATTCCCACCAGCAGTGTATTAGAGTCCCCTTTTCTCCACACCCTCGCCAACACTTGTTTGATGATTTTTTGATGGCGGCCATTCTGACAGGTGTGAGGTGATACCTCATAGTTGTTTTAATTTGCATCTCTCTGATGATTAGTGATGTTGAGCATTTCTTCATGTGTCTCTTGGCCATTTATATGTCCTGTTTGAAGAGGTGTCTATTTATTTCCTCTGCCCATTTTTTAATTGGGTTCTTTGTCTTCCTTTTGTGGAGTTGTATGAGCACTCTGTATATATTGGAAATTAACCCCTTATCTGATACATCATTGGCAATGATGTTCTCCCATACAGTGGGTTGCCTTTCCATTTTGATGATTGTTTCTTTTGCTGTGCAGAAGCTTTTGAGTTTGATGTAGTCCCATGTGTTCATTTTCTCCTTTATTTCTGTTGCCTTAGGTGATGTATCAGTGAAAATTCTGCTCCGTATGATGTCCGAAATTTTGTTGCCTCCATTTTCTTCTAGAATTTTTATGGATTCATGGGTCACATTTAAGTCTTTTATCCATTTCGAGTTTATTTTTGTGTATGGTGTAAGTTGATGGTCTAGTTTCATTTTTTTTCATGTAGCTGTCCAATTTTCCCAACACCATTTATTAAAGAGGCTGTCTTTACTCCACTGTATGCTCTTGCCACCTTTGTCAAATATTAATTGAGCGTATTGCCTTGGGTCCATTTCTGGGTTTTCAGTTCTGTTCCACTGGTCTATATGCCTGTTCTTGTGCCAGTACCAGGCTGTTTTGGTTACCGTTGCTTTGTAGTATAACCTGATATCTGGTATTGTGATCCCTCCAACTTTGTTCTTCTTTTTCAAGATTGCTGTGGCTATTCGGGGTCTTTTTTGGTTCCATATGAACTTTTGAAGTATTTGTTCTAGTTCTATGAAATATGTCGTTGGTATTTTGATGGGGATTGCATTGAATCTATAGATTGCTTTGGGTAGTATGGACATTTTAATGATGTTAATTCTTCCAATTCATGAACAGGGTATGTGCTTCCACTTTTTTATATCTTCCTCTATTTCTTTTTTCAATGACCTGTAGTTTTCTGCAAATAGGTCTTTTACTTCTTTGGTTAAGTTTATTCCTAGGTATCGTAATTTTTTTGGAGCGATGGTAAATGGGATTGTTTTTTCAGTTTCTCTTTCTGTGAGTTCATCATTGATGTACAAGAGCGTTTGTCTTTCTGAGGGTCATAGTTCTTCAAGCTGATCTGCAGCTCCACCATCTCCAAAAACTCCCGGCGCTTGCACTGGTTCTGGTGCTGGACTTCCGGCACCGCCTCCTACAGGGTGTCACAGGAGACTTGGCTGCTCATGATTCCTCGCACTGCAAAAACCGAAAAAGAGTTCATGTCAATTTTAAACTAAAATTAAATTGAAACTGTAGAAAGATATAAAATTACCATAGTAACTCAAAATTTAAAAATGAAATCTTTTGCAAGCCAGACTTTTATTGCTACAGAAAAAAAGAAAACATTTCACAAAATTTAAATAATACTTATGCTATTACCACTAATTCTCATAGTAGGAAATGGGTGAAAATAGCAGTGCCTCATCTTTTGCTCGTTGTTTGCCAAGATCTCAAATGATAGCAGAGGGGTAAGCACCCTGTCTTGCCAAAGCAACTAACCTTATATGATAACTGGAGAAAAACTTCTAGTTTCAATTTGATCTTCTAATTTAGAGCTCATTAAATATGGAAAAGTGCCAAGTTTGATCTTTAAAAGGAAAAAAATAACTTGCATTGGATGCAACCAATACAAAATCTTTCTTTGCATTCTTACTTTCTTTATATGTTTGTGCCCATTTCTGATAATGACTCCTCTTCCTACTTTTTGTTCAGATCCTTATCTTCCTTTTTCTTCTTAACAATATATGACACCTAAAGTCTCTAACCAATCAAGTTTCCAATAGCTGTAATTTATCCGCCACTTTTTGGAACTGAACCAGGGACTCTCCAGTTCTCAGGCCAACGCTCCAACCGCTGAGCCAAACTGGCCAGGGCTTATCCACCACTCTTATGGGCCCCTACATTCATAAGACAAAAGTAGTCAACATTAACTTACTTTGAAATGACATATTTTTAAAGTGTTTCCTTTTTACTTATTTTTCCCCTCTGACAACTTCTCTCATCAAAGATAGATCTTTCTAGTTAGCAAAGTTAATCAAGTGTTATAATGATTTCTCTATTAATGGTGACTATTAACTATCATTTAGTTGGGACTTTTATGTCTCTCCAAATGTCTTTTAGATCAAACTTTCTGGACTTTTGAAAGTTATATTCAGGCACCATCCTTGAGTCTTGAAGGTGTTAATATCTAAGCCTTTTATCATAATGATGCAAATAAAAATTGATATATACAAAATGTTTGTACTGTTTTGTTGCCTGCAAACTGCTTTACCACATATCTCCTTTACCCCTCAAAACCACATTTTGTTTAAAAAAGAATCTCAGAAATTTTTGCAAAACCATTAGAATTGTTTCAGTGGAAAAAAATCTGTGTAACTTCACAAATTCTCTTTCTCAGTTGCCCTACACGTAAGCATAGTAAGCTGACAGCCCTGGTCTTGGGGTTTTTATGTTATGGAAGTGAGCTGTGGGGATTCATTACATATTCTGGGTGTTGCTGTAATTGGAAGATTTCGATGAAAGCTCATATTTCTCTGCTCATGTTTTTTTTTAAAAAGACACATGACGTTTTACTCTTCAAAGGGGATCTCAGTATAGTAGATACCCAAGGTAGATTACCAGAGTAGAGCATAGCGAATGGATGCCTAGATAACTATTAATTTATAGAGATTGCTACATATATAAAATTCTAATTTGAGACATTTACAATTATGTGGAAATTAGAATGCCAAACAAGAAATAACAAGGACATTAGAAATACTTTGATGAATAAAAATAAATATAATATGTACAAACAAATATGAGATATTGTTAAAGCAGTGATTAGAGGAACATTTATGTCGAAAAACATTTATATCTTGAAAAATGAGAATATCTCAAATTATCTTACTCTTCCATTTTAAGGCACTGGTAAAAGAAGAACACATTAAAAGTAAAGCAGACAGAAGGGAGGGCATAATAAAGATAAGAAAGGAGATAAATAAAATAAATTTTAAAAATAGAAAAATTAACTAAACCAAATTTTGTGTTTTAAAAAGACCAAACAGGGTGAGGGAAATGGCAGCGAAGTGAATGGAGCTACACAGACCATTTCACAGGACCAAACTGGATTTATAACAAAAATAAAGGCAAATCGTCAGGAAAGGGCAACCAAAAGACACCTTGGAGGAACACATTATCAGCGACACTGACTCAATCCTGGTAGGCTTGCGAGGACAGGAGAGGGAGCTGGGAGCCCACACTCCACAGCGGCCTGGGCAGGAACCAGGGAACTCGGTAGGAAGTTGCTGCTACTGCCTCCCTTGTGAGCCCCCCCCCCCCAGTCTTGCGAACTCTGTTGCTTGCTAAGACCTCGGATGGTGCTGCACGGACTCGCTGGGACCAGGGGACTCGGTGGGACAAGGGGCTCGGCAGGAAGTTGCTGCTACCGCCTCCCTTACGACACCACATGGGTCCTAGGAACTCTGTTGCCTGCTAAGCCCTTGGCTGGTGCGGCACAGACTCGCGGGGACCAGGGGACTCGGTGGGACACTGCTACCAGGGCTGAGTCCCGCAAACTGAGCGTGCTAATCCCTCGGCTGCTGCCGCACGGACTCGCAAGGACCAGGGGACTCTGCTGGAAGCTGCTGCCACCTCTGCAGTGTCCCGCTACTGCGGCTCAGTCCTGGGGTTTCTGCTGAGTGCAATGCACTGGGCTGGAGCCACAGCCGGGGCCACCCTTGGTTGGAAGAGGCACAGTCGGGTTAAAAGTCCCAGGCGGCTCCACGACACAGAGTCTGGACAGAGGCTAAATTGGCAGCAGCGAATCACCTTGGTCTCCGGCAGAGAGAAGGCAGACTGGACTGGAACTGTGTGGGGACACTCGGGCTTTGGAGGGTGCTCAGAGCTTTTGCTGAGTGCAGCCACGCAGGACTGTGGTCATTTTACTCCTTCCCAGGGCACCTCCCTCAAAGATTCAACCCCAACTGGTGACCATTGAAATGCTAATTGAGGCCCATTAACAACCAGCAGCTGCCCCACCCTCAGGAAATCCTCTTACACTGAGCACCTGAGGGAGGTTTTCAGGCAACTCAGAAACCAAGGGTCTGCAGGTGACCTCTACTTATAGCCTCCAGGCAAAAAAAGCTAGAGGATAACTACCATTCCTGGGGCTAGCAACACTAACTAGAAAAACTAATACTTGATGGTGGTGTTTAAAGTGGGTCCTCCCTTGCTCATCCAAACCCACGAGAGGGAGCCACAAACAGCAGAACACCGACACCCACAGGGAAAATTGGGCAGATTCAAAAGCCCACTGTGATAGCCAAAATGGTGAAAAACAGAAACAAAAGCCAAATGAAAGAACAAGAGACCACTACGGAGGATGAGATAAATGAGGTGCAGTTAAGAAAGTTAATAGAACTAGAATTTAGAGCCATGATGTTGAGGAAGCTCAACAGCATGTGTAAGGATATGAGCACCATGAGTAAAGACATAGAAATGTTGAAAATCAACCAGTTGGATATTAAAAACCAACAGGAAGAAATTAAGAATGACATATTCGAAAAGAAAAACACATTGGAAGGTCTAAAAAGCAGAGTAGGGGAAGCTGAGGACCGGATCAGTGAATTAATCAGGCTAGAAAAAAATCAACCAATCAGAAAACCAAAAGGGAAAAATGATTTAAAAACAGGAAGACAGCTTAAGAGAACTGTGGGAAAACTGAAAACTGAATAATATTCGCATCATAGGGTCCCTGAAGAAGAAAATAAGCAAGGGTTAGAGAATATATTCAAAGAAATAGTGACACAAAACTTCCCTAATTTGGTGAAGGAAGAAGGCATTCAAGTTCTAGAAGCACAGAGAGCCCCAAGTAAGAAGAACCCAAACAGGCCCACACCAAGACACATAGTAATCAAACTGCCAAAAATTAAAGACAAAGAGAGAATTCTAAAAGCAGCAAGAGATAAGCAACATGTTACCTACAAAGAAACCCAATAAGGCTTTCAGCTGAATTCTCACAAGAAACACTACAGGCATGAAGTAATCAAGGTCATGAAAAACAAGGATCTGAATCCAAGACTACTCTTCCCAGCAAGGCTATCATTCAAAAGAGAATGTCAAATAAAGAGCTTCCCAGACAAAAAAAAAAGGCTAAGGGAATACATTAGCACCAAACCAGCACTACAAGAAATGTTAAAAGGACTGCTGTAATAACCAGGAGAAATGGGAAGAAAAATAGAACCACACTAAACAAAAATGGCAATAAATAAGTACATATCAATAATCACCTTAAATGTAAATAGACTGAATGCACCCATAAAAAGACACAGAGTAGCTGATTGGATAAGAAAGCGTGACTCATCTATATGTTGTTTACAAGAGACCCACCTCACAACAAAAGACTCACATAGATTGAAAGTGAAGGGATGGAAAAAATCTTCCAAGCAAACGGAAAGAAAAAAAAGCTGGGGTAGCAGTACTCATATCTGATAAAATAGATTTCAGAATGAAGGCCATAATTAGAGACAAAGGCCACTACATAATATTGAAAGGATCTATCCAACAGGAAGATATAACCTTGATAAACATATATGCACCCAATATAGGAGCACCAAAATATATTTAAAAACTTCTGGAGGACTTCAAAGGAGAAATCGATAGCAATACAATCATAGCAGGGGACTTCAACACCCCACTGACATCACTGGATAGATCCTCTAGACAAAAAATTAGCAAGGAAACAGATACTCTAAATGAAGGACTAGACCCAATGAACTTAATAGATATCTACAGAGAACTACACCTCAAAATTACAGAATTCAAATTCTTCTCAAGTGCACATGGGACATTCTCAAAAATAGACCACATGTTAGGGCACAAACTAAGTCTCTACAAATTCAAGAAGATTGAAATTATATGAAGCATCTTCTCAGATCACAATGGCATGAAACTAGAAATCAATTGCAAGAAGAGCATGCAAAGACATTTGAACACATAGAAGCTAAATAGCATCTTTTTATACAATGAATGGGTCACCAAGGAGATGAAGGAAGAAATCAAAAACTTCCTGGAAACCAATTAAAATGATGACACAACACCACAAAATATATGGAA